GTAAAAGACGCCTCATCACTGAATAAAATGACGCTTAACAGTTCGGGATGAGCTTTTTATCCAGTGGCACAAATCCATACGCTGTGCATGGTCGCCTGGTTCCAGATGTTGTACCATTTGATCATGGTAAGAATAACTCTTCATAATGTAAAGTTCGCCACACCTGAATACGTGATACGCCGATGCGAGAGGCGATTCTACGAGTGACAGACGCGGACGTCACTGAACAATATCAAGAATGTGCTCTGGTGTGTCTATCATTCGTACATCCTGCCTTTCAGAGTGCACAGAAACACTTGCAAGAGAACCAGTATCACGCAATGTCTGGTGAACTCGTGTAAATACACTTCGAGATGGAATCCTTCAATCGGGAAAACGCCTTTGGTATTCTTCAAGAGCAGCACGTGCATTGCGACCGCAAAATTCACACACAAAATGCATATCACAATATTCCACGTGTGAAAACACAAGAGGCATTTCAGCAACTCATCACACAACTAATTTACCACCCATTCACGACCCCGCCGCAACGTAATCTGTAGGCTCTGGTAGGTAGCACATGAGCTTACGGCTAGTGACTCACAGCACTCAAGGACAAACAGATAAGGGTCTCAGCTGACAGCTATAGCGCGTGGACCTGCAAGAAGACCACACTTTTCTCGGGCCATTATCTCCGTAACCATTCAACTTTGGACATAGGTGTTTTGGGTTATATCGGCATACTTTAACATAAGGAACACCCTCCCGAAGTTTGGTCCATTCCTCCTGGGACATTCTGTATATTGACTGCTGTAATATTAATGTCTTGTTCCTATAAATTCTGTAGCAAAAACAGAAATGTAAGAAATAAATGTCTTAAATTGAGTTTTGAAGTTAAAAATATATACTTGTGTTATGTGCACGAGTTATACTACATCTTATGAATATCTGATGGAAGAAAAGAAAGAATACTGGTTAATGTAGAAAAAATTCTTATTTCTTCATTAAGAATGAAAGGCTTACTACATATACTAGCTCTCATACTACTGCACGTGATGTGGTCCACTTTCATTTTACTGTATCTTACACTTTACCAACCTTGCTGGACTTCTCCAATGCCTGTTGATTGCTGAAAGTTTCACCTCTGGAACTTTTCAAGAACAAGTACTGTGCCACCAGAATGACAGGAGTGAAACACAATGTAACTAGGCCAAGACGCCATTCATAGTAAAGGGCAAGTGCTACCCCCAACCCAATTGTGGCTATAGACTGCAGCACTATTCCCACACGCTGACCTGTGGCCTGTCAACAAAACAAAAATGAAATGATAAATTAACAAATAAGCAACATCAGCACTGCTGTATGGGACATTCTGATTTATGTGCAATAACAGCCTGCCCAGTGATCTTTCTGTTATCAAAAAATTATACTGTATTTCACATTACAATAATCTTTCTGGCCCTAGATGGACCAAACCTAACCCCCAACAATTACCTGACATGTCTTATGATGAACAAAGTGACACTGGGGTTGCAACAATAAGATGAATAAAGTTTCTACAATACTATGCAAAATCTGAGATCTTCAGAGCAATGAGTATAAAGTGCTATCAGAATGTTCCTGGACTATTATTATTCTAACTGCCTCAGTGAAAGAAGATGAGAGGGGAGGCCAAGGTCACATTTCCACAAGCCTGTTGCATCAGTCTGCCATGTGATACCCCACTGTGAACACACACTGTTGTTTGGACTTAGTGTTCATTTTGTCTGCAATGGATGGCAAAATCAAGCAACGTGCCTGCATCAAGTTTCCCATGAACTCAGTAAATCCGGTACTGAACCCCCTGAAATGGTTCGTGAGGCTTTTGGAGAACATTCTTTAAGCCGAACAGCGATTCTTGAATAGCATTCATGGTTTTAATGCCGGATGAATGTCAGCTGACGATGACGAACGTTTAGAGCGACCAAACACCAGCAAAATGACAGAAAATGTTGAAAAAATTAAAAAACTCATCCCCAAAGACTGTCACTGAACAATCCATGAGTTCACAGACACCGTTGGGATCAGTTATGAAGTCTGCCAGGAGATCTTAAGAGAAAATTTGAATATGCATTACATTGCTGCAAAGTTTGTTCACTGACTCTTGACAAATGATCCTCATCATGACAATGCGCCACCCACAAGTCCCTGAAAACCACAGAGTTTGTGACTAACAGCAACATGGTTAACGTTCCCCATTCTCCCTACTTGCCAGACTTAGCCCCCTGTGATTTTGATTTGTTTCCCAAATTGAAAATGAAACTGAAGGGACATTTTGAAACAGTACTCGACAGCAATAAGGAAAATTATCTCCATGGTGCTTCTGAAGCATGAAAAAAACAATAGTATCACTGTATACGTTCACAAGGAGACTATTATGAAGGAGATGACAGTCAAAATTAAGTAAGTTAAGCCAGCATTTCTTTTTTGACGTAGCATGGTATGGCACGGTATGGTATAATATAGTATATATAGTATATATGGTATAGTATAAAATGTTAACTAACATTTTGGAAGACTGAACTGCCTCCCACTTCCTCTTCAACCCTGAATACAGATATGGCATGGCAATTGCTACCAGACTACACAGCATCACATCGCAGAAGACAGTATTCTTCTATGACACAAGTGTGACTATAATGATACTTTCATATTTAAACATCATTCAATTTTTAAAGGTTCATAATATTTATATTTTTCAGTGGATCACCAATAATATCTATAATGAAAAAATGTTAATTCTTACATGGAATTAATTGGGGCCAGCTGACTGCTGAAAGCCATGAAACATTCCTATCCAGATTACCAAGTTCTGGAGGTAGGAAACATGGATGAAACACTTAACACTTCAATCCACACAGTATCCTGTGACATATGAGGTAATTCATTCAATGTACATGTACTCACACCCTGCACACTTGCAGCATCCCCTGAGAGACGAGCACAGAGCGAACCTGAGTTGTTGGACTTCTTATCAAACCATGCAACTTCCTGCTGGACCATTGATTCAAACAGTTCCCCACGAAGTCGCATCGTCAGTTTCTCACCTGCTACCCCATATGTGTAAATCTAAAATAATGAGCAAAGTTATTGATATGAAATAGTATAATCAAGGAAACCACGCCTCTGACAAGGAAACTGAAAATTGAACAGAGCTAAAATCAAGGCCTGTGATTATGCACGACACTGAGATATTTCAAACCAAAGTGGATAATTTTCAGTCCAGTGTGACATACAAGTTTACAACACTTCAGTCTTTATTCACCTTACATGTTTCGATTCAAAAGAATCATCCTCAGAGGCACACCATTATGATCAGGAAACACTGTCACATAAGATGTTTTAACAATATCAGGTACTAACAGCTTAGCTGTATGTATTCTACCTGCTTGACATCACTGACCCTGTGTACATTCAATAACTGAGAGAAGTAGTTCTTCCACCTATTCAAAATGTTGTGGGAATCTGCAAGCAGATCGCCATTCTCGTCTTTCACTAAGCTACTTCTAGGTTGGTAACCCCTCTTAAAGTCATTTGTTCCTCTACACAGGTCTCTAATGTTCTTGTTCTTACTGTTCATTGCAAGCTCATCAGTTTTGTCTTTCATATATTCTGTTTTTATTCCTGAAATGCCTGCTGGTTTCGCGTCTTATATTGTTCAGATTATCCCTATTTATTTCACTTTGAGTCTGTAACCACTGGAATCTGTCTTGTTTCCTTTGGTCTAATAATTCTGAGAATCCTTAATTGAACCATGGCTTATGCTTCTTCGGTTCATAATAACCTAGACTCTTCTTGGCAGAAATTTTGATATTCTCTCTAATAGTTTCCCAAGCTTTATTAAAATCCACCTCAGTGTCCAAGTTTTCCAAAGCCGGGATCCTATTTGAGATTTCAACACAATACTGCTCTTTACCCTCTATCTCATTTAATATCTTGAGATTGAACTTCTCCATATGAATTCTGTGTGTGGTTTGTTTGCTCACTGCCAGTCTTTCCCTAACATTTACACCGCCAGGTAGTGGTCAGTATTACAATCTGCTGCCCTGAATGATTGGACATGAAGCACACTTGAATGCCGTCTCCTATCTCTCAAAATATGGTCAATTTGACTGTGTCTTCCTATCAGATGTCCAAGTAAATTTATGGATGTTATGATATGGGAACATTGTGCTTCTGACCGTAAGATTTTTTGATGTGGCAAAGTTTACTACTCTAACTCTATTATCATCACTAACTTCGTGCAAACTCTCATTCCCAATTGTTGGTTTGAAAATATCTTCATACCTACTTTGGCATTGATATCTCCTAATAAAATTTTCTAATGGTAGTTTGGGAATTTATCAAATCCATTTTCTAATTCTTCATAGGACCGGTCCTTTATAACATCAATTGTTATCTACTGTTGAGGCACGAACATTCAGAACTACCAGCTTCTCAATAGTAATTCTGTTATTAAGATCTAAATGTTTGTGGTGATGGTATATTAATACAACTATTGTGTTTTTGCACATTATCCATTGCTCTATTTTTACTTAAAACACACAATGTTTCAAAGATTGGATTCCATCTTTGTCTTCAGGTGGTACCTACTCAATTGATCCCAGTGGATAGAGCTAGTCTCTATCTCTGGACACCAGCACCAACACAAGCTAGGATATATAAACCAAGCATAGCACAAACCATCTGTGTGAGTGAAGACAAACATTAAATCATGAGGCCTAGCATCTATGTCCATGCATTATATTATGGCTATTCTTAAAATCAAAGCATTGTCAGAACAGAAGTCATCACTATAGAGACAAATTGTCTGTGTGGTACCAACATAAAAAGACCGAACCAAACACCACATACAGGAAATACATGGAATCCACCCACATCTCTGAAGGATCATCTAATCAGCCAACCCAGCTTCGACATCTTTCCAATCTGGATTCCCATTATTGCAGCAGAAATCAGAACTCTGTCCATTGTATCCATAATGTGTATATAATGTAACATGTCGGGAACCCAGAAGAGTCACTTCTATGGAAACGCTAGAATAGACCGTTGCATAGGAAACAACAATCGCTCTATTGTAGTTCTAACAGGAGTCTCCATGGTTATAACAGCATAGCAGCGGCCAAGGAGATAAATAGCCCAGCTTCGACGAGAAGCAGTCAGTCTTGGAATATCCGCCGCAGAAGGGTCTGCTATAAACCGCCTGAGAAGACAGTCCAGTATCGCCGAGATATTGTAAGCAGTATTTGTAACACTGCAAGTGGTAATGATTGTAAGGTGTCAGCGAGCGGAATACATTCGCTATATCAAACAACGGCGTAAATTTATTTGTAGTGTGACACACACAACACGCTACAATATTAACCGTCTTTTAGTGCATACAATTTCACTTGTCACTTCATACTACATGTTTCGGCATCATTCTGCTGTCCTCAGGTGTATTAATCACGTTAAACCATTGCACTGCCTGCCATCAAATGTCCATTTATGAAATGACATAAAATGTGTTTGTCGTTCAATAATAAAATTTATATATTAAAACTTGTTAAGATCTATCATCTTATATGTCATGTACCTGCGTGCACTGTATTGCTGGACACATACATCCAGCAATACAACATATGCAGCCACACAAGAAAGACACAGTATATACACAATTAAAACATAAGAAGAACGACTCCCATAGTGGATGAATGGCATTACACATGAGTTTGATACACGACATGTAAGATGATAGATCTTAACAAGCTTTAACATATAAATTTTATTATTGAACAACGACGAACACACATTTTATATCATTTTATAAATGGACATTTGATGGAAGGCAGTGATTAATACACCTGACAATGGCAGAATGATGCCGAAACGTGTAGTATGAAGTGACAAGTGAAATTGTATGCACTAAAACACGGTTAATATATACACATTATGGATATGAATCAGTGCAACAGGACGCTAAAATACAACATTATTAATACTGTCCATTGTAGATTATGTGTGGAAATAATGTTTTTATTTCGGTACCATACAGAGAATTTGTCTCTTTAGTGATTACTTTTATTCTGGCAGTGCATGGATATAGGCGTTAGGCCTCATGTGTGTGGAGTTTTCTTAATGCTTTTAATGTTTGTCTTAAATCCTGCAGATGGATTGTGCTGTGCTTGGTTGGAATATCCTATCCTGTGTTTGAACTGGTGTCCACAGATACAGACAAACTGAGTAGGTTCCACTTGAAGACAGAGAAAGAATCCAGTCTCTAAAATGCCGTGTGATTTAAATAAAAACAGGCTGATGGATAGTGTCCAGAAACATAATAGATGTAGTAATTCTATTGCATGGAGTGAGTGAGTTTGTTACTGACCCATAGAGTGCCTGCCTCCTCTCACTGCAAAGAATCAAGTGATCAGTTTCCATACTGTAACAGGAGGCAACACTAGGGATAATATCCCAACCTATAAACTAGCAAAATAACAATACTGTTCTCTCGAATATGATCCTATAATTCAGTCTGAATTCATGCAGATAAATTGTGAAATTGTTATATAAACATAAGAATTATTTCTTACCAATTCAGCATCTGGGAAAAGGGGGGGGGTTATCACAAAGAAATACACTTCACTAGGATTGATGTTAACATTACTATGAATTCAGAGAACTAAAGTATTTCTAGTACAAGTAGCACTCGGAATCACTGGGTTTTTTTTGGACTTTGCTCATCATCTGATATCCTAAAGACCACAATGTTTATGAAACTAGAGCTGCTCCTGTCCTCATGTGGGGGGTGGGAGACACCCATTTTGTTGAGTTTCTTAGAAAGAGGTAACATCAGTGTCCGGACAACCTATGTCAATATAACTACAGGTGTGTGTGTGTGTACACACACACACACACACNTTTTATTTCGGTACCATACAGAGAATTTGTCTCTTTAGCCGTTCAGCGTGGTTTGACGTGTATGTTTCGTCAGGTATTTAAATCGTCTGGGGGGGTTCGACGTGTATGTTTCGTCCAGCTGCACACCTATGTTATAACGCCCATAATAATTGATGGTTTTGCTGTAGATTGTTAGATTTTTCACTGGCCTGTTGTCAGGAGAACTGTATTTAATGACACACGCGTTTAAGAGCGCTAAGTCGTCGTTACATATGCCTGTCTTGAAGCAACGTTCCTGTGGCTACTGTGAGCGGTTTCTTGATTCTACTGTTATGAATGACGTGTTTTCTTTGCTCTGAAGCTATAAACAGCAGAG